AAAAAAAAGAATCTGAAATCTAGCTGATGCATTTGGCCAGACATAATTTTCAGAGGTGGTTATAGTGACGTGTCAACCTTGCTAAATAGGAGTGTTAATGTGGGCGAAGTAAAGACGACAGGAGTCTCGGGGCTGCTATGCGAACACTGGGAAACTCTGCATTCTCTGGTCGGCTGATATGCCCAAACAGAACCCCAGCATGGAAGGCATACACCTTCCTGCTTGGAGCGGTGCAACACACTCTGTTCATGAAACATTCAAAGTGACAAGTCTATGGGTGCCTGGCTGGCTCAGTCAGTAGAGCATCTGACACTTGATCTTGGGGCCATGAGTTTGAGCCCCATGTTGTGTGCAGATGTAACTTAAAAAAAAAAAACAACTTGATAAGTTCCTGGTCAGTCATTCCAATGTCTTCTAGCATCCCCTCTATGGCCTGTGGACATGTTTGGTGTGTAGCATTCCAGATGAAATGAATTAGCTGGGTAGAAGCAGTACTTGCATGTGTTCCTCCACACCTACCCTATGCACACGTTTTGAAGATTTATTTATTTATTTTAGAGAGAGAAAGGGGGGGGGCAGAGGGAGAGGGAGAGAATCTTTAAGCAGACTCCACACTGACTGCGGAGCCCAACACGTGCGCTCGATCCCATGACCCTGAGATCACCAAAGGAGCCGAAACCAAGAGTCAGATGCTTAGCCAACTGTGCCACCCAGCCACCCCACTATACACATTTTAATTCAACCTGGTAACCGTTACATAAAAGAGGAAGGGAGGATGGGGTTCAGCTCACAACTGTTGGATTTGGGGTCTGGGTGAATGTCTATGAACACCTCCGTGACTCTGCTTTTGAAAAGTACTTGGATAACCACTTATCTTTGCAACTCTCCAAGCAGGTGGATTTCCTTGACCTCTCTTCATTGTTGACCTTTTTTTGTAGGGAGAGATGGGAAGATGAAGACCAGCAATCAATCAATCAATCAATCCAGCAAGATGATTCAGCAGAGTCCTGGCACAGCCCTGTCGCACCTCTCAGGGGAGCTGAGGGAAAGGGGTTAAGAAACCTCACTTGCGGGGTGCCTGAGTGGCTCAGTTGTTAAGCGTCATCTGCCTTCGGCTCAGGTCATGATCCCAGGGTCCTGGGATCCAGCCCCACATTGGGCTCCCTGCTCTGC